TTTCAGGGGTTAGGTCCCAAACGTCACTATGGCGGCGTGTTAATTCATCTGAACGTCAGTTTATGAGAGCTTTTTGAAGTGATAATGGAATTGTGAGAATCTTTTAAAGTTCCACTTCAGACTTAATCGAGCTGTTAGTTTAACATATTTACTGTTAGAAGGTTAAACAGTCGTAACAACATTATTTGTTGACTGATTTAGAGCAGACGTGGTAAGGTTTCTGCATGTGTCGCGTTACTTTACTGAATTTGTCTTCTCGCCGAAGCATTAAACGTCGTTATGAAGTCAAGCGTACTTGTTATAGGCATTATTTCTCATTTTGTTGAGTTGTAGATTAGTTTTATTAGAAAACTCTTTCAGCTCTTTACTAACAGATATATTGACTAAATTGGGTGAAAGATTAATAGAAGTACTGTATATAAGTTTTGGAGTATTTTGCACACATTTACCCTGGCATCGGGTCAGACGTAATGCCAGAAATCGTGTGCACGTGTGCAGATCGATGCACTTTAAGGAACCTGAAAACAATCTTGCACGAAACGTCTATGCATTTTCAATACTACCAACCATTAAGTATTCTGTGGCGTGCAAGGTCAGTTTGTAGGCCTGGATCGTAGTTTCGTACTTCGTACCGTAGCACTGATCCATCCGTACCCGAATAGGCTCTTGGTTTTGCATATCTCTAGTAGCGTGGGAATGAATGGAAAAATATAAAATAAAAGATTAAGTAACGAAAACAATTTGCAATTTCTCTGACCGAAAGTTTGAATAAAATGGACAGTAACAGGAAAGAGAGAGGGGAGGAATTGGTTTAACTCTACTCCTGAATGGCGTGTTTCAAGAGTTGTTAGATCTGAAAAAAGTGATCATTTAAATTAGCGAATCTTTCAATAGTTCATTCATGGGGTATTGACTGATAAGATGTTGACATAATTGTACTAATGGTAGAAATATACTTTATCTAATCGGTATATATCGTTCCGTATCTCGCCGTGATAATCACTCGTTTTTCCTCTGGAATTATGGTCTTGCTCTAGCAAGCGTGAATTTCAGTAAACGTGCTTGCGTCCTTCAAACTATCTAGCACGTGTACACGATAGTATAATGGTTCAATTTCCTCTAGAATAAATTACATAAACTTATCTTTTCTTTCTTGATGTGAAATAATTCCTGAATTCTTCAATGCTGTTCCTAGTCTTACTTTACCGCTAATACATTCCACAACGGTGAATAGCGTGCGTGCGTGCATGCGTGTGTGTATAATGTGTGTGTGTGTGTGTGTGTCACATTTTGCACACTTTTTGGAGCATTTGTAACTTCGCAACTTTTAATTAATTTTGCACATCTAAAAACTTCAAGGCAATAGCTAAAAATTAAAATTTGGTATCCAAATGTAACCGTTTTAAACTATTACCGACTTCGACAGATTTAAACTATTCGAATTTCTATTAGTTAACGAATTTTCTTAACTATATTAGTGTTTAGTGGGACATAAATATTCTCTATTGTTCGAAGAAAGTAAATACATGGCTGAATATTGTTCAAAATCACAATTTAAAATTCTTAAAAATCGAGGTAGTCTCAAATTCCTTATGAAATAATTGGGTAGATGAAACAATGAGAGATAAATAGCAGCCTAGAAAACAAATTTCTTATTGTGGATATTCCAAATTATAGTTTTGTAATGTTCTAGGTTGAACGCAGTAAATAGACGCCTCAAATCTTGCATCACATAAAATTGACTTACAAAACGACTCTTTAAGGTATCCAAGAATTAGGGACTTAACAAAATGATGAATCGAGCAGTGTCAGGAACACTTCGAAGTTGCTTCACAAGACTAAGGTGGTTGTGTTCTTGGGTTTAAATTATTCTACTTTGGCAAAACTGCACAGGGAAGTTACCACAAATTTTGTTTAGTAAGATGTTCGGGAATGTCTCCTTGACGCTCTGTGCTTAATTGCTTTCTTTTTTTTCCTCTGGCGTCTTTTGAGCGTAGTTCAGACTCTTTGAAAAAATTCATTATTGGAGATGTTCAATATAAACCGTTGAAACGATGTAAACATTTACAGATTATAACAGTCTCATCCTTAGTATTCAATGGGTTGACGTTGTGTACTTGGGCTCTCACGTTACGGCACTAAAAATAAAATTTATAATATTATTGCACAACTATTAAAGAGGAAAAATGGTATATGTTGTACTAAACACTCAAAAATGACCCAGTAAACGGGTATTAGCGGAAAAGATTGTGACGCGAGCGAACTCCACGCAATTTGTCAGGCTTCGTGGATGCACCCGAGTACAAGAGTGACCGCTGACGTCCTCTAAAGTCGTCTGACCGGTCGGGCCGCAGGCTCTATTCCTCCTCTTGCTGAGACGATACATCAGAAGGAAACGGCGGCCGGTTGTTGCTCTACTGCCTTAAATCCACTCCGCTGCTGGGGCGAATGTGCAACAACTAGTAGGATTAAAACCTGGGTAGAAGTGGTGGTGGAGGTAGAGCTATTAAGAAAATTCTAGATCCTTCACGTAGGCCATTAACGAAACGAGCGTCTCTTTCAGATGGAGAAATCTGATCCGTCGCAGTGGAAGTAATACGTACGATAGTTTCAATGTTTCAGGCGTTGTCAAGAAACTAGAGATCCTTCTTCGGTGGAATGTAGGCTTTAAGGTACTGCTAGTTACTGTGAGTGGCAGGTTACTTTCTTGATTCACGCAGCGCAAAAAAAGGTAATTCTTTTTACGAATGGAATTATGACCTTCACATTCACGCACATGCAAGTCTTGCTTAAACTTTGTATTCAGCTCGTAATTGGGGGTTGAAAGCTTCCTCACGCATAGCATGGACCTTTTCTAATACTTTTCCTAAAAGCTATCCATCACTCTAACCTACTTGAATGTAATTATATTGCACGCAATATATTGCGATCATTCTTTTGAAAGAGGTGGGGGGGTGTAATCGAAACGTTTTGGCATCTAACGAACAAAAAAGGATTCTCAAAGGAACCGTTGGGCGATTTTCAGGCGAGGCCATAACGCATCGAGGTCGCGAAGCCGTTACAGGTGTTGGGCATTCCTACCCATTCAGACTACGCCTCGCTGGGTTTCGTCATCAGACTACGTTCGCCCCTCCCAGCCCCTCCCCTTGCAACGCATCGTCTGTAATTCTCAAGTTTAATGTCAACGCAATTGCCCGCTCGCTACCTAACCGGCGGCAGTCACGCTGTAGAGAAGAGAGTCGCTCTTACGTGCAGGGATTTTGTTGTCTCGCTGTGATGCCTCGAAGATTTTACGGATAAGTTCGGGAAGACGCCATTTTCAGAGTTTATGGTATACAGTTACGAGGCAACGGCTGAGTTTCACGGTCTGAGAATATTTTTTTCCTTTTTCTCAAGTTGCGTAAGCGAATCTGTTTTAGTGCAGTTTCCGTGCATTTAAGGATGAATGCCAATGTAACGGAGGTCGCATGATGGTTATTTGAAAAAGGGCATTTCAGATTTAAGTACTAAACAATGCTCATTCAGAAAATTACACTTCCTATTAATTTGACAAGCTCCATAACAAATTGAATATTGATGCATAATCCTACGGCTGGACAAATAATATAGTTCTTAATTAATAGAAATAACTTTAAACTTTTGCGCAAGGTTTTCATTGAAGGTACTGTACACGAATATACTTGAATGCAGTAATGAAATTCCATTTGTTTTTAAATTGTGTGAAAATGAGGAATTTTCAAAACTATTCGCAACGTTCAATAAAACTTCATTTAACAATTTCCAAGAAAGTTGTTCTGTAAAAGTTAACAAATATGATTTACTTAGTAACATTACTCATTAATGGCGGTATCAAAGCGGATGGAATGAACGGATCAATATTTTACGTCATAAGAAATACGAAATGTTTCAGAATATTTTAAAGGACGAATCCTTGAAAATGTTGGTTAGGCAACTGATAAATTTCGAATAATTCTCGATAAATAACTGCATAGATAAGATATGCACGCCGTTTTCCTTAAAGCCCGAAGACGACAAAAAAATACAAATTTCACTTTACATGTAAATGCTCGTTTTACTTTACTTACGCATAATTCACTCAGCATTCACTAAAATTAAGGAAACAAGAAAATTTTATTGTAAACTATGGTGTATCTAGTACAGAGCGTTTGGCTTTTTAATCGGAAGAGTAGACAGGTAATCGAAAGAGTGTTCGTGCGCAACCGCGTGCACATAAGGTTCGTGTATTTTTACTTCCTCAGCTGCTCAGCAAGCAGCCGGGATGCTTGTCAAAGGAAGCGGCAGACAAGGAGAAATGACTCAACGAAATATTAATGTAACCTAGTAGCAACATCGGTGTTCTTCAAGAACTTTTTAAAAGTTCTGGAGTAGACATTCAATGTTCGCGTTGAATACGAATTGTCAAGATCTTAACTACATTTTTATGGCGAATCAGGGTGTGATTATTATTACATAAATAGTTCAATGATTAACTAAATTCAAACTATTTTGTAAGTTAGCGTTCTAAAAATTAGGAATTATTGGGAAATTCTAATAAATACTACCTTAGATTTGACCTCGATACGTTACCTCGTTTTGCTACCTCTCACTATAGGTGGTAACAATTGTTTAGACACTAAAATTCTAATAGGAATACAAAATCACTTCCTCAGGTTTTCTTTATATTCTGAACGTAATGGTATTTAAATCGCACGGAAGTAATTGTGAATTGGTTACGAAGAATGAGAAGCGGCAAATGAAAATCTTAAAAGGACGAAGTAATTTCTTTACATGATAGATTTACATGGATTCTTTATTCAGTTGAAGTTGTCATTCAGTCAAAGTTCTTGGCAGCCTCAAGCTTGGAGTAAATTCAGAGCTGCACGCACTTATTTCCAGTTACCGGAAAGTTCTAGAAAGCTCACTTCCGCTTACTGCGCATTGTTCCCGCACATATAAAGCCTCTAGAAACTCAGCCGCCCCCAGCCGCCCTACTGCGAGCGATGGAGCGTAGCCTAATGCCGCAGAGCATGCGCGTGATGACGAGTTATTCGATCTCGTACGCCATTGCTGGGAGCCCGCCGTCACGTGATATCAGAAGGTAACTCCTTCCGGTGCGGGAGAGCCGGTTTCTGTTTGAAACACCGCGCTCCTCTGGTAAATTGAAACTTTGTCGCAAACTCTAGTCGGTTCTTGAACCGCATAATCACAAGTTTATCTATTTCTGGGTAAATCAGATAACATTCTAAATCTACCAGGCGACATTCCGTGTTAATTCCCTAATCTGATTGAATGAGATGCAAAAAATCTTGATTTATTCATTCATTTTTTAAGGACAGAAATGGGTGAACTTTGTACGTTCCTACTTTAGTTTCTTGAATTATTCAGCAAATATTGTATTCTAAATATATCTGAATCGTACTAAAGTGAATTTAATTTCCTTATTTCTGAGAAGTACTTTTGTTGTGCGGGATGAAAATCGGTCAAAGATGATAATAATAGGGTCTTCGGTGAATAATGGTATAAAACTTCCCTGTGCAAGATTCTTACTTGCTCGTCGCTATTAAAATTTAAAAAAAAATGTAATATGCTCTGTTCTATAGAGTTTCAATGGATATATATTAGAAAGTACTACCACTTTAACTATGTACATTGAATGTCAAGTATGAACGATTATTTGGGGTAGAAGTCAAATGTGTGCCTACTTTCTATTGGTTTCATTTGAATACTGCATGTTATATATCACAAAGATAAATCATATTTTATACCTGAGAGATATCTTTGTTCACCTTTTAAATTTACCTTAAATAGGTATGCCACGTTTTCTGTCCAGTTTACATTGATCCATTGAGCAAATGCTGATATGACTCCTTGTTTTGCGTCTGAACATATACGTATCATTCACAATGGTCACATTGTGTTGATTTCTCATTTTGCTAGCTGCTGAATAAAAGGAGCTGGGGTAGTGTCTTGCCAGCTGCTGCAAAAGGGAATCGAAAGTTTATAGCAAATAGAAATCGTTGGCCATTGGTCATTGGCCAAACCTATAAGTACAATTATGTCAATTCCCTCTCCTCATACGTTCTTGGTGTTTTGATTCCATATGTACGGCTAAAACAATTTTAAAGAATTTTACAAGTGCTTCGAGGTTCTCCTCGAACAGCGATATTACGTCCATACGTCATGAACAGTTTTTATAATAAATAAAATCTTTGTTTGAAAATGGGAAAGCATTCTATGGGAAAGCTCTTCTATTTGGTTTAATACCAATTCTTTTATATAATAGATCTAGAAAAGATCACGTAAGTTTCTTGCCTCGAACTGTTTTCTTCGTGGTAGACTGGATCAGATGGCGAATGTTTTCAGTGCCCGTATTATCTAATACGCCCACGCTTACTTCATTGGTTATCCTTATCTCGCACTTGCGCGAACAGTGTGCATTTATCTCTAGAGGTACTAGAGGCGTACTTGCGAATAACCGTACGAGTACTCGGTGGGCACTCGCGTGGCGCACGAGCAACCACTTAGGTACTTCAGCGGCAGCTGCCATGGCCTTAGGTGTAAAGAAGTGAGAAACAAGCACATTTCGCAGAAGCAAATCTTGCCATTTCGTCCCAAATTTTCAGACCATATTTGCAACTCATTTGCCTTAATGAAAGTACAGAAATGTTTCGTGACACTTCTACTTCTACTCTAAATGCAATCGAATATTTGGATTTGTTATTCGAAACTAGAAGACTAGGTTAGACTAATAATAGTTAGATTTAACACGTTCAATTCTTTTTTATAGTTATTTAGATATTTAAGTGCTTTTTTATTATTTTTTCATCTCTTATTCACAAAGATCATCTCGACTTGGATCTTATTTCTTTTCATAATTGGAATGCTTAGATGTTTTTTCAGGCAGAATAGTGATGAAATCAAATAATTTTAGCATTTCTTCTAAAAAAAAACAAGTCTAGATATTTTAACTTTTGTAGTTGTTCTTGCAGTAAAAGCATGAACTAATTTCGGTAGGAGTAATTGAAATGACGTAGAAAAAATATAAGATTTTTTACGTTCTCATCGTATACACTTGTGTATCTAGATTTTTTGTGACTACTAACAATAACTAAGAGTAATAAGTTTTCTGCTACCATCCATTAGCTTTAGATCATCTCCACAAAACTCATTTCAAAGGAGCGTTGTCCGTTGTATGTATAAACAAAAGACGGGGATTCTCTCTGACACTAGTCATTGGTTGGGGAAGCTCGCCATTGAGAGATCGCTGGCATTTAAAGCGCGAGATTGGCATCCCTGACCGGGGCCGCGTCCCCAATGCATCGGGTGACGCCTCCCGAGGCCACGCACCTGATCCCCAGCCTCCCCCTCCCCCCTCCCTCGCCCTCTCCTTCCCGTCGCGTCGGAGACTCGTCTCTAGTGCTCTTCCACACCACCTCTCGCGCCCACGTGACACTGTTGTCTCCCGCGCCCGCAGTGCAACTGATTTGTTACTCGGGATCCGGCCGGGAAGCGCAGGCTTGCGCAGGTGACGCAGTTAGATCCTGTGCTCCCTCTCACTCTCGGCGTGTGCGGCAGTTCGAAGAGTCGTGGGTTTCAATACCTCTTCGGCCTGCGGTTAAAGAAGATCATCTAACGCCCGATTTTTAGGTGGGCCAGATGTGGACAACTCGAGAGAGAGGCACATTGTTAGACGCCAGAACCCTTTGCACTCTGTACTGGGATACGTTGACCTTGCATGAGGAGATAGTAATAGAATTCTGAAGAAATGTAAAATTCTCTCTGTAAAATGCTGTTTGTTAGTTGCCATCGAAACTACAAAAGAGAGTATTGAGGAGTATCCAGCAACAAGTTCTAGAACCAAATGAGGGAAGAGATTGGAAATAACCGCATTTATTTTTCAAGGATTAACTCATTAATTTTTAAGTGATGTTAGTTACGAATATCTTAAAAGCAAAATTGTTTGAAGAAGACCTTCATTTTCAATGAAACGGTAAAAAGCTTAAAATAAAATATTTTTTACATCCAAATTTTTCAATTGAGCTAGTGGTGAAAATGTATTTTTACAGATGGATTGATGAGAAAGTTCGCTCAGAGTTTAGTTAATCGGTGACAACGTTTCTTAAAATCTTAAACGTTATTGTTGAATACAAGGGATGAAACGAATATTTGACTCAATGAAAACTAAATTTTAAATATTTAAATTATATAAATTTAAATTTAACCTACTAATTCTGTAAGTGCCACAAATGTTATGTCAAAAGCGGTTTAATGATTGTAGTACAAAGTTACATACATCTGTTTCTCGCTGGTTGATTGTTTCGTGTGATCTTTCATGTCTAATAATCTTTTCCTTAAATGTAAATATTGGACGATACTAATTTGAATATTTATTAAAAATCATATTAGCAATGAGTCATCTCAAGCTAACTAGAACATCGAAAGAAACGACAGGGTAATCGGCTATTATTATGTATTTGAAACTATCCAAGGTACATTGCGTCAATTTGTTTTTTTAGTTTACTATAGTTCAACAAAAATCTTGTTAATAATTGAGTGTTCTCAAGTTCGCCTGGAATGCATCAGTTCTTAAAAGAGGATCAAAATACTTAGATTAATTAATTTTAGGCACATAACTCTTATATGACGGAAAAGAAAAATTGTATTTTGACTACATCCTGTCTTCAAAATCGTACCTCACGTGGAAACATAAAAGTGTAGAGAGTTGAAACATTACATCAGAAGAGTGCACTGCCTTACTTGAAAAATTGTCAAGTACGTATCAAGTGCTGTTGGTTGATGGAAGTACTTTCAGATAATGCAGTTTCTTCATTTACGATAAATACTACGTATGAGCCACAAATTTTTTCTTTAAAATCCACAATTTCTGCGATATTAAACATTGTTAGTGCGCTTCAAATTGAGCTACCATTCAATAGTTCCTATTCAGGACATTGAGAGCGAATGGTAATCTTTCTTGGTCTCCTGCCGACGAGTCTCTTATCTATTTTCCCACCCACAGCCGTAAATATGTACTCAGACGGACGTTGACATAGTAATCATAAAGTGATAAGGACACGGATAATCACGTGTGGTATAGAAAACTGAAAATGTAAGGGGAAAAAAAGTTGAACGTTTTTATACAACCTCCCGAAAAGCGGTTTTAACCTAACATTTGACCTTGTTTAAGAGAACGGCACACCGTTCCATTGCCAAACAAACTTCTCAAGAGGAAAAACAAATCTAAAGAGACCGGCCGACTTCTCTAATTCCAGACAACAGCGCCGTCGGATTAGATTCGACACTTCGTGACCAGCCGGCCTACTTTCGCTCTTCGATAACCGCTTGCTACTTCGAACACCTTACTCGCGTCCTGCCCAACGATACTTGCGTGACGTACTTATCGTGGCAACTCGACATTGCGTCCTTGCTTGGACACCCCTAATACTATCACGTCGGAAACTATGTTCCAAAAGAAAAAAATGGTCATTGGGAGCGAGGATTTACAGAAGGAGAATATACTAAAAAGGTTGAAAAAAGTTAAATTAAGAAAGTGAAAATTTCTTCCAGACTAAAGAACTTTAATTTTCATGCTTAAAGGAATAACCCTGATAATTTTAAGAAATTCACTCTCATTAAACGTACTGTAGCTGAACCTTCAATAAATTATCTAATTCGGGTCCCATATTTTGTTTCATGAACAGCGTGTTGCGTATAGAAATTTCACACAACAGATACATAGTGTTAGGTTCATGAGAAAAAAAATACATCGATAAGGTTAAACATTGTGAGAGAGGGAAACATTTCGATAAATAATATAGCGCTCATTTCTTCATTCAGTACAATCAACAAGTTGTATTGTAAATTACACATCTTGATGTATATAGAGAATGAAAGCTTTAAAAAACGCGCAGATAAATGTTACTTTTTCGGAATGAACTGGGCAAGTTGCATTTTGCCGGTCATGGTGACTAATGCTTTGAAGAGACGTTACCATCTCTTACATATGTGTGTATACGTGTACTATTTATACATTGCGCCAAGTAAATAGCTTAATACAATTTATCAGAAGGCCGCAAACCCCCATGGGTGAGTACTCCTGGTTACAGGATGGTCCCCAGGCCGCCACCAAACATTCAAAACGGAGAATGAAGCGGTCAGAATTGAGGGGTCAGCAGCCTGGCATGCAACCCGCAATACGACACGCTGCAACACGTTACGACCGGGAATAATTTCGGGACTGTGTCCTGGTATCTTAAAGCGAGATTTGTGTCATTGTGTAAGAGTAAAATGGCAACTTCCTGGACGCTAGTTTCATTTTAGTGAGTACCCCACTCCGTAAAGAAGGTTGTCACACACATTCGAAGTTGGTTTCCGGTACGTCACTATATTTTTTGTTTTAATTTAAAACTATGATTTAAATTACGTGGAATGCTAGTATGTCAGTGGAATAATTCTACAGTAGCTTTTTTTCTTCTAGTATCGTAAGGAGTTCTCAGGATATCGTGCATTTTATTCACTAGTAAGAATTCCTCCAAACTTTTGACCTGTGGCTTTGTAAAAATATTGAACTCTTATTGGTTTAAATTTCACTCTTCATCTTGAGAAATGTGAAAGTTAAAACAATATATTTTTAGAAAACTTCTTTTAAATATTTCATTATCTCAGCTCTTATCTCAAATTTCGTAGTTTTACTTTAGGCAATCAAAATTGATTAAACCTTTACTTATTTTTAAATTGGTTTGTGCGAACTAGTTGGCAAAAAGACGCTCGGGGTGGGTGCGTTTCGGGAGCACTGTGCGTGGCCCCTGAGTCACTGGCTGCCGCACAGCGAGCCGGCACTTTCACGGTTGTCGCCCGGGGCGGCGCGCACTGGACGCCGCCGCCCTGTCGCAACGGGGAGAATAAAATGTTCATAAACCACAAACGTCTCGTGGAAACCTGTTGCGGGACAGAAATAGAGTAGATAGGTTTGCAACTGCGTTTGCAACGCGTGTGCGTGTGTGTACAGATGGTTGTGGAGCGCGTTTTACCGTAGCGTATCGGAAACAAAAATTTTACGTGTTAGTGTGTTCCAAGGAATCGTTGGAATTGTGATTGTGCATCGAGCTTGCAGATTGCTTGACGTTGTACGGCGGTTAAGTTTGAATGAAAACCCCGGTGTTGGTGACGATGCAAAGTTCAAATTTTCTGCTTTGAGAGTTTCGGAAAGACGTGCTGTTCATATTAATGTTGACGGAAGTGAGTATATGTCTTACTTTCGAAATAAGGAATTTCTACATGTTAGTCTTAAAATCATAAACTTTCGTATAACTGCAAGGTTCTTGTGAAGGTTACAAAATGGTCTTCTCTTTACGTTCATCTTACTCCCAGAGGGATTTTTTGTTCTGTTGTAAAAGCTTTATATTTGAAGTAATTTTTAAAAATCAAATTTTACTTAAAAAGTAATAAACTTAGAAATTAAACTAAATGCGGGTGCGACTCTTAATGGAAAAGATTTGTGATAACTCACAAATATGTGTAAGAAGGCTTGCATTCAGACTTTACCGAACTGCAAAAAGGTTTCAAGAAATAATAAAAAATGTTCGAACAGGTTTTTAAAGCATACATAGAATAGGAATGACGAAAAGAAAACTTTAAGGTGGGAGATTCAAAATCATTATATCACGAATATGCTACTCCGTAAATTAAATGCGGTTCTAGAGCAAGTATCTTACGCGTGACAATGGAAATGACAATGAATAGGCCCATCAACTGAAGTATTGAATTTCTTGTGATGTCGTTCGTGAAAGTAATGAAAAGGACTGTATGATTGACTCCTCAAACAGATTTCCATGACTGGGCCTCACTTCCTGATCTCATTACTCAATGTTGTTTATTAAAGATCCAGTTACAAAAGCCAGGCGTGTCAAGAGTAGAATTCGTGCGAGGGATTTGCTCACGCTAGACACTCCATTTACTTTACGAAAAATTTATGAAGACGGCTGAAGTTCAGCTAACAAGGGATGCACCTTTGTTCCGAGGACGCCTTGGTTAATATTCCAAATTCCCGCTCCACTTTATAATAATGCAACGCTTATGATCAATGAAGTCAACCTGCCTCTTTCTTCAGATGAGGCAGATGATTGGCAGCCATACTTCTACTTGTACTGTTTGAGGTGCACTCTGAAACAGTTTCTTCGCACGTTATAAATTAAATTGTATTAATTGTAGTAGTCTCTAAAATAAATCTCTCTGGTTCTGAATACAATCTATATATTCAGAAAAAACAAATGCGTATCTCCAAAAGTATTTACAAAACCTTTCGTCTTTTTTTAACATTACCAATTGTACACTTCAATTTCGTCTGAAAAACTATCTGTAAATACATCCAAGAGTCTCATCATGACAGTTCTGTCATACGAAAATGCAGCAAAGATCGATTTTTTCATTACCTTTTCATTTCGCCGCAACTCGCTCAAACACAATTACACAATAGAGAGTAACTCCAAAACAAAAAAGGTTTTAGTACCTAGCGTCCCCCGTTTTGTTCGGTTACCATACAGCTTAAGTATAGATGTGCCTCTAGAAACACAGTAATAGAAATGAAATTCGTTTCGCATGCACAAAATCCTGGGTAGTTTATAGAAATTCCAGATTAAGCAGTAGGCTCAAATGTATATCTCTAGAAACGATAAGCTAGAAATAAAGAGAAATAAGATGAGCAGTACCGAGGTCAACCAGTTTAAAGAGAAAATCATCTTGGTGTAGAAAAGCTAAAGTATTTCGGCATCAACACAAGGTTAAGTCGAGAAAATTAACGAAGACGTAGATTGGGATGTTTTGGACATCTAGTAACAGAACTAACTGAACAAATAGATTTTTATCAGCTTCAATTTTCAAGGACTTACTTTTGTGTCAGTACTTTCAGAAATAACTAGAAATTCGCTGCAATTAAGATATTAAATTAGTGATTAGTGTTCAATATTTTGAAATGCAGTGCAATGGGATGCTGAACAGTATAATAAAATGCGAAACTGTCTTGTAGTGAAATGAACGTGACCATTGCAGATTTTAGCCATGATTTGGCTAATTTTTATATTTTAAAGTCTCTATTTAGTAATAACCATTCTAATTTTGTCAACTATAATTATCATACATTTCGATGATACTTCTGTGTCTAATGTAGGAACTGCCACCAGGATTTTCCAAATATTCAAGCAGTTCGACTCGCGGCTGCTTCTTGCCTCCATCATTGAACGTGGGAAGGACAGATGGACCAGGTGGGGTCGTGCGAATCGGAGGCGAAATGCCAAAGGTGCGCTCTGGCCTAAGGCAGCAGAGGCGCCGGGCGGCGGGACGCGGCGGGGCCCACCGTAGCCTATTGGGGCGTCGTCGCGGCGCCGGCGCCGGCGCCGGCGCCGCAAACCTTACACTCCGCCCACACTGAGTCGTAATGGCAAGCACGGCAGAAAAGGAGTGAAATCTGTTACTCGAAATGCGTTACTGTTTGGTTTGAATAAACGGTTTTCAAGGTGAGACTGTGACGAAAGGATTTTCAAATAAAATTAATTCCAACCTCGGATGATACTAATGTATTCGAAAAGTCGGTTACCTCGTTTAAGCTGCAATAAGGAACGGAATTAACTGGAATATTTGCCTACTTTGAAATATCGTGGTCTGCGTTGGCAATCGCGAAATTCATAGTGTTCGGGAGGACTTTTACATGCCTCTCAATGCAGCTGAGATTCTGGGCGACCGTGGAGATCTCTTGCGATGACGAGGGCGAGGCGATGACACATATCGTATCTTTGTTTTCCTTTTAAATATTTTAAAACCCTTTGTATTGGTTGTTATATTACGAAATCGTGACGGAAGAGTGCCAAGTGTAAATCTTCTGTTAAAAGAATTCGCATTTATTGCCGATAGATGCGAGGTTATTAAGCTCCTTGTATGTAAAAAAAACTTTTGCCTCAACAGAACGGAACAAGAATATTACTGTTTACTGTAGGAGGGTTCATAATTTACCCTCTCGCAAATGAGTTAATATGCAAAGTAAGTGCAGTTTTGAAATAGAAAAGCATTTTTTTTGCGGTATAGAATTTTAAGAATTCATTGCGGCGTTCATTCACCCCTTTCTGTGTAGAAAGCCTGGAAGGGAATTGGTTTTTTTGGTAGAATTTTGACGTGTTACTCTAAATAGGTAGAGAAGTCCAATCTTAAAGAAGTATAAAGCCTATTCGGTAGTGTTGATGATCGCTTGAGGTGGATTAACTAGTTACTGCATTGCCTGTGACAGAGTTCCTAGTCCTAGAGTCCTCAAGATTTCAGGATTTTTGGTACTTACTGCAGAGCTAGATTAAATTCATTCGTTGTCTGGAGACTAAATCCTACCACAGACTGCTCTGTTCGGTAGTTTTCATTCATTTCTCCATCAATACCACGCGAATGCCGTTGGAGTATCCTACCAAACGAACGACGGGCCGCATGCACTTTTTCTTATTCAATAGTGACCCTTCCTCTCACCTTGCATGCATATACTAAATACAATACACTACACTACACTACACTACACTACACTACCACAAATGATTGGAGACCAGTCGAGTTTAGAGCTTGTCTGTGCTAGGGCGGTGCCCCAGTGGCTGTAAAACGTGGAACACAAGCTGACGTGTAGGTCGGCGCGGGATCTCGCCTTCTTCCAGGAAAGGAACTCACCCACCTCGTGGGACAAAATCGCGTATTACTTATGGGACTTCTTGATCGCAACTTGACACGCCCGGAGACGCAATCAATTAATCAATCCTGATGAATCCTCCGTAAACAGCCGAAATGGATTTTACCAATTAGTTCTTTTGATTAATTATTCGACCTTACGTTAAAGAAATGCTTGGTAATACATTTTGATATCGTGTTCCATGTACATTGCTCTTGTCTCGCGATTCTTTTAGTCAGCTTCCCAGCTGCGTGATAACTGCTCCCACTGTGCGTAGGCGTGGGCGTGCGGTGTGGTGGTGGCGGTGGTGGCGGTGGACTCGGCGCGTCACTGGCGGCGCCCGTAGGCCGGAGGCGCCCCCGCGGCGCGGCGCGGCGTGGCGTGGCGATTACGTCTGCGGCGCGGCGACCGCCCACCGCGGTGAAAGCCCCGATGCGACCCGACCCGACCCGACCCGACCCGACCCGACCCGACCCTACCCCGGGCTCATGTGCCGTACGCGAACGGAGCACGGGCACCGGGTGACTGCCTTAACGGGCGAGTGCGTACGTCATATGCCACGGGGCGGCGGGCGGCGTCATGGCGCGACGAGAGACGCGGGCACGGGACTCGCGGTGGTGTCGCGCTTGGCGCATTTTGATGCCAACAGCTACCGGAACGTGAGCTGTGAAGCACGGCCAATACGGGACATGTGATTTAACTGTCATGAAACTAACCTGCGAGATGAAACATTTTTTGTTGCAGCGGAAATTGTCCGAGAATTGTCTTAGATTGTTGGGAATGGGGATCGGAAATCTACGTTAAATTCTATTCTAGATATTTAAATGGCTGAAATGGTTATCTCGTGAAGTAAAGTCAGTTGAATGAGATGGAAATCATCGGTAACTACTATCGATCTTTTAGGCATCATATGTCCAGTTTTTTGGTGTACAAAGATCAAATCAGAGAAAAGATGCAAATTTTGTTAAGGATGTATTTCACAGAAGAAACATATTTATATAATAGCAGGGATAAGTTCTAGGAATTAATTGGAAATAAACTTGTACTTCATTAATAATTGTACTTAAAACGCCTCTCATAAAATGTTATAATTTCTGCCAGTTGCCTTAAGTTTTGGTTGTAAAACAAGTCAATATTGGCTACTGGATAAATTTTAATGCTACAAATTTATTTGCCTGGACTTTATTCCAGTGAATTCATAAAATTTTAATCGGAACGCAAAAGTAACTATTTTAAATATTATCACGGACGTTTAAGTTGTATAGCAATAATTTTTCCTTTGCAAGTCATTAACGGTACTAATTCACAAACAACGTAAAGAAGTTCGTAATCGATGGAGTGAAGCAACAAGAACTTGATTGCTCCCACCAGTTAAAGCTGGTAAAAAGGAAACTCTTGTCAGAAGAGAAATGGTTGACCGAGACATTGACCAGTTCTCTGGTAACCCTGAACAGAGGAAACTACGAGATTTCTCTTCCCCTCCAGTTCTGAAGCCGCCTGTAGTCCTTTACACCTCTGGGGAAAAGATCGGCATGAAGTTTGAAAA